TCCTCTTCTGGATCATCCAAATGCACTCTAGCAAACTTCAGACGGGCCTGGACATGTACTGGCTTAAGCAGGGGGACACGTCTGGCACTGCAGGATTTGAGTCCCTGGCGGCGTAGTGTGTTACTGATGGTAGGCTTTGATACTTTGGTCCCAGCTCTCTGCAGGTCATTCACTAGGTCCCCCCGTGTGGTTCTGGGATTTTTGCTCACCGTTCTTGTGATCATTTTGACCCCACGGGGTGAGATCTTGCGTGGAGCCCCAGATCGAGGGAGATTATCAGTGGTCTTGTATGTCTTCCATTTCCTAATAATTGCTCCCACAGTTGATTTCTTCAAACCAAGCTGCTTACCTATTGCAGATTCAGTCTTCCCAGCCTGGTGCAGATCTACAATTTTGTTTCAGGTGTCCTTTTACAGCTCTTTGGTCTTGGCCATAGTGAAGTTTGGAGAGTGACTGTTTGAGGTTGTGGACAGGTGTCTTTTATACTGATAACAAGTTCAAACAGGTGCCATTAATACAGGTAACGAGTGGAGGACAGAGGAGCCTCTTAAAGAAGAAGTTACAGGTCTGTGAGAGCCAGAAATCTTGCTTGTTTGTAGGTGACCAAATACTTATTTTCCACCATAATTTGCAAATAAATTCATTAAAAATCCTACAATGTGATTTTATGGATTTTTTTCCCTCATTTTGTCTGTCATAGTTGACGTGTACCTATGATGAAAATTACAGGCCTCTCTCATCTTTTTAAGTGGGAGAACTTGCACAATTGGTGGCTGACTAAATACTTTTTTTTCCCCACTGTAGCTGTTTATGGTCCAATAACATATTTAAAATAATCCATCTACCTTTCGTATCTGTTTGGACAATTTGCACATTCGGATCGAAATTACTGTTAATTAATATCATCACCCCTTTTGAGTTTCTTTGCCCAACGCAACTTCATCTAGAATTGTTGAATGAGTTTCCTGTAGACAATAGATATTATATTCCTTCTCTTTGAGCCATGTAAATATTGTTCTTCTTTTGTTATTCTCTGCTAAGCCATTACAATTATAACTGGCTATACTTATTTCACCACATACCATAATGAGATACAAGTTTCAAAACATTTTTTAATGGCTTTACAGATTGGATATTTAAAAAAAGTACTTTTGTCTTAGTTAAAAACACTTTTAAACTAATATATGTAATATTCAATGCTGTTTTTAATACATATTATGCCGTTTTTGAAGTGTACATATGATGATGTAAATATATGAGCTGTGCAAGTGAAATTGTGTTAAAAACATTTTACAAAAAAATATATATATATATATATATATTCCAACTGTATCCTAACTCTGGCTGGATTCCAATAGGAATTACAAAACACTTTGCAAGCCAGTATTATGTGACTTGCAGGTAGGGCTGCAAAATTCCGGTTACTTTCCTGTTTAATCAGCTTCTTGATATGCCACACCTGTCAGGTGGATGGATTATCTTGGCAAAGGAGAAATGCTCACTAACAGGGATGTAAAACATTTGTGCACAAAATGTGAGAGAAATAAGCTTTTTGTGCGTATGGAACATTTCTGGGATCTTTTATGTCAGCTAATGAAACATGGGACCAACACTTTACATGTTGTGTTTATATTTTTATTCAGAATAGTTCATAGGTAGAGAGTGGATGGAATACTCAGTTACTGCAGATGCGGCATTTTGTTTCCCATGTCGAAAGTTCTGTGTAGGGTCCAACGCTAAAGCAGACAAGGCCTGCATCCAAGCTGGGTATTCTAACTGGAAGAATGCTATTGATAGTACCAAATGATTTGCTAGGAATGCATCAAGCAAAGAGCATTTGAAATACACTGCACTGTGGAAAGAAAAACTAGTTTGACGTGCTATGGGAACAACGCTGTCAACACTTGTTAATGATGGGCAGCTGGCAAGAAATCGCATGTATTTGTCTGTGATTATGGACATTATTGAGTTCCTTGTTTCAAACCAGCAACCACTGAGGGGGACATTGGACGCAATAGAGCCAAGAGAGGAGGGGAGGGGGGCAGTGAACTTTTTGGAATATAGTCTCCAAAAAGACAATGAACTTGGCAAGGTGTTTAGCACCATACCCTACAATGCTGCAACTCTTCTGAAAAGGTAAGAAACAATCCAGCTGGTTGGTTTTTATCAAAATCTTGGTGGTATATCCAGTAGTGTCATTTCAGGAAAAACCTAGGGTATGGAATGGCAAAATGACTTCCTTAGCCAGCCTAGGTTTACAACGGCCTTGCTTAGTGTGTAGGGCGCCGTCCATAAAGCTGATAAAGCACAGCGTAGATTCCGCGCCAACCTGTCACTTCTTGTTCAAAAGCACTCAATGGTCTCGGCATTTTAACTTTTATGTTTATTGTAGTATAGCGTGATATATGCATAATTTAATATAATTCCAATGCAAGAACCCCAAATTACGCCCCTGGGTATAGCTACATATCGGTATGTTTCATCATAGAAATAGATACATTCTATTATGGTTTTCTTGGTAGCCTATACTCTTAGAAAGAATGGTTCCAAAATGGTTCTTTGGCTGTCCCCATAGGAGAACCCATTTTGGTTCAAGGGAGAACCCTTTTGGTTCCTCTTTGGAAAGGGTCCTACATCGAACCAAAAAGAGTTCTACCTGGAACCAAAAAGGTTCCTTCAACCATTTTAGGTTCCAAATAGCAACAACAACAAAAATCAGTGTATTGGTTTTCGTGGTTGTAAATGGATTGCGTGGGTCGAATTTTATCCACAGAAGTGTAATGTGCCATTTCACAAGGTGTTGCTGAACTCATGAGCGGCATGATTTTCCATGTTTGAAGTAGGCCTATAGGCCTTTCTATTTGGCAAGGCAGCTGTGCATGGCTGCATCTCACTGTAGTAGGCTGTATGCTATTTTTTGGTTATTTGGATCTCCATTCACCTTTTGTTTACTGTGTTTATTTATTGTTAATTTAACTAGCCTACATATATATCTTTTGTTTACTCCTACCTCTGTTTTGTTCTGTTCGCATTCATTTGTTCGTTCGGATTCATAGTTGTCGGTATTCTAAGCCAAACTGCTATTCAGTATTTTTTTCGCATGCATGAATAACTAGGCTACTACTTTCAGCATTTAGTTTGCATTATTTTGGGAAGACAGCTGTGTGTACGGCTGCATTCACAGAGGCTGTTTGTAATAGGTGAATGACCTTGTAGCCTATATCATTACCAAAACAGCATTGCTGTAGGGCGCTGTCCATTGTGCTGATACAGCACAGCAGAGATAGGCTACAGATTTCAAAAGAACCCAATGACCTCGGAGTATCGGCATTTTAAGTTGAGAAGGCATGGTGCCCGCTATAATAAGGGGTCGGCTGCACTGATAGACAGGCTTGATCCGTGAGACACACTTGACAGAAGTTCCCTGGCTAAACTGCTTCGTCATTTTACATGTTATTCTTAATTACAGATCACATACGAGTTTGTTTTTACGGCACATGCAAGTTAATTTGCTCAAAAAGGCATTTCTGCAACAAAAAAAAGCATTTTGACGAAAACACTTTTTTTTTTATTTAAATGCCTTTCCTGTGAAGTAGTAACGTCTGTCTTGCCCACTGTTCGCGTGCGGCATCACAAATACAGTCATGAGTGGTAACTCTACAACTCGAAAAGACAAGGCACATTGGCTAATTATATTGGCAGCGTGGCTTAGTGAGGGTGTGGCTTTCAGATAGTTATGTTTGGCCACCCTTGAGTGGAAGTGTTGTAACCAGTTTAACTGGTCTATGGTAGAGGTACATATTTGCCATTTAAAAGGAACAAATGGCTTTGTAACTGTGGTGGTACTATATGTGACTTGTTTCGTTCTGTACGCTCCGAGAGCAAAACGCTCTGAATTTACAAACAAATCTGATAATGCTCTGAGTTTACGAACGCCTAGAGCACACTCTGGCACTCCAGATTACATTTACGAACACACCCGTAGTATAAGCCAGTCCTTTAGTCTTGAAATCTTTTGTTGTTTAGTACATAGCCTCACATGTGAATCCTTAAAGAGATGGGTGGGGCTAAAGTTTGAAAGGGTGTGAACAATGCTGAATGGGTGTAGACAAAGAAGAGCTCTCCAGTAGGTACCAAAACATTCAAGGGCCATTTTCTAAAATGTGAGGTTACAAGTTGATCAACTTTCCAATCAGAATTACTTTCCCATTGTTCCTCAACTGTAGTGTATGATATAACATTTTTTAGCTCTGAGTCTCTACTTTTATCCAATGTAAAAACACTATTTCAAATTTTGGTACATTAGACCAAATTGAGCCGGTCGGTCAAATATGAAGGCAATGAGCATGCTTTTTTAACTGTCGAGAAAGGTAGTGTTGTTACGTTTGACGCCGGAGCTCCGAGGCATGCGTCAAAATTGCTAAGCAGTGTACTTTGAAGCAGTGTGCCGATGCCTGTATCACTTAATCAGAAGCACATGATCAATGGCGTCCGAAGCTTCGTTTCGTCGAACAACCACCTGATTGGTTTGGTAGAAGAGAAAAAGGCTACGCTGAGCACGCGCTACAGGGTATGGGACGTCATCTATAATAATTTGGCTGCTCTAAATTCTTTTGACCAGCAGGTGCCACTAGTGTACACTGTGTTGATCAAAGCCTTCGAGTAATGAACCTATTTCCGACACAATTGGTTGGAAAATCTCAACGCTTCAGGAAGCTTCATTTCTCCATCACTAAAGAAATGTACTATCTGAGGTATGTACTGGGGTACAATTATGTACCTACAGTATAACTAAAAGTACAAAGGAGGACATGGTACCACCCCCGTGACAAGCAGTTGTACCCCTTTAGGAACAAATAATCCAAACATTTATTTCTGAGAGTGTACTGGAGCTATAAAAAGACCCAGATAGGAGAATGAGGGAGATAAGGCAGGGGATATGGCTGTGTGCTGTTAGTGTGGGTGTGTGCAAGTCTGCTTGAGTGTGTGGGTAAGCCTGTCCTACATGTGTATGTACAACCAGACTCACCTAGCAGTATGATGATACAGATGAGGATAGCGATGATGGCTCCAGTGCCCAGCCCTGCAGCGATTATGCGTTCCATGTCTACACAATCTCCATGGGGATCACACTGACACACCTTGACCCGCAGGTAGGATGTATTGGACATGGGCAGGTTGCCTGAGTCTGTGATGATGATAGGAACCTCGTAGATACCACTCTCCAGAAAACCTATCCGCAGCCTGATCTGAGCATATTCACCTGGGATAGGGACACACACACAGGGGGAGAGAGAGAAAGAGAGAAGGGGGGGAGAGAGTGGGGAGGAAGAGAGCGAGAGAGCGGGGGAGGAAGAGAGAGAGAGGGGGGAGGAAAAGAGAGAGAGAGAGAGAGAGAGAGGGGGGAGGAAAAGAGAGAGAGGGGGAGAGAGTGTGTGGGGAGTTACAGATGCAGGTAGAGAGTTTTAGGGACAAAGAGAGAAATGAAGAGACGGCGATAGACAGGAAATAAGAGAGCGAGAGAGAGTTATGGAGAGAGAGAGAGAGTAAAAGAAAGAAAGAAAGAAAGAAAGAAAGAAAGAAAGAAAGAAAGAAAGAAAGAAAGAAAGAAAGAAAGAAAGAAAGAAAGAAAGAAGAGGGAGAATGTTCAACAAGTTATTTTGTCATGGCAATAAAAAATGGGTTTTATTAAATTCAATTCAATTGAGAGAGAGCGATAGAGAAATGGAGAGAAAGAAAGAAGGGGAAAGATAAAACACAGACAGACTAACCATTGAGGCGTGTGAGGGTCCAGTTCCTGCGTGCGTCTGCTGGCCGGTTGGCCATTTCGAAGGCGAAGGGGCCGGCGTTAGGGGTCAGATCGGAGTCGCTGGCGGTGATGTTGATGGCATTGGGCTCAGGCTTCTCACACATCTCCACCTCTGGAGGGAAGACACGAGGAGCGTTGTCGTTTATGTCCAACAGGTACATCTGTAATGTACCTGTACCACTGGCTGGGGGGATGCCTGAGAGAAAGAGGACAAAGGGATGGAGGAGAGTGAGAAGGAGAGACTAGTGAGATAGGCAAAGTTAAGAAAAAGGGCCCTTACAAAGGCAGGAATAATACAACAATGACAAAAAGACAACCTGTTCGGTGCAACATACAGTTGAAGTCGGAAGTTTACATACCCTTAGGTTGGAGTCATTAAAACTTGTTTTTCAACCACTCCACAAATGTCTTGTTAACAAACTATAGTTTTGGCAAGTCGGTTAGGACATCTACTTTGTGCATGACACAAGTAATTTTTCCAACAATTGTTTACAGACAGATTATTTAAACTTATAATTCACTGTATCACAATTCCAGTGTTTCAGAAGTTTACATACACTAAGTTGACTGTGCATTTAAACAGCTTGGAAAATTCCAGAAAATGATGTCATGGTTTTAGAAGGTTCTGATAGGCTAATTGACATAATTTGAGTCAATTGGAGGTATACCTGTGGATGTATTTCAAGGCCTACCTTCAAACTCAGTGCCTCTTTGCTTAACATCATGGGAAAATCAAAAGAAATCAGCCAAGACCTCAGAAAAAAAATTGTAGACCTCCACAAGTCTGGTTCATACTTGGGAGCAATTTCCAAACACCTGAAGGTACCACGTTCATCTGTACAAACAATACTACGCAAGTATAAACACCATGGGACCACGTAGGCGTCATACCGCTCAGGAAGGAGAAGCGTTCTGTCTCCTAGAAATGAACGTACTTTGTTTCGAAATGTGCAAATCAATCCCAGAACAACAGCAAAGTACCTTGTGAAGATGCTGGAGGAAACAGGTACAAAATTATCTATATCCACAGTAAAACGAGTCATATATCGACATAACCTGAAAGGCCGCTCAGCAAGGAAGAAGCCACTGCTCCAAAACAGCCATAAAAAAGCCAGACTACGGTTTGCAACTGCACATGGGGACAAAGATCGTACTTTTTGGAGAAATGTCCTCTGGTCTGATGAAACAAAAATAGAACTGTTTGGCCATAATGACCATCGTTATGTTTGGAGGAAAAAGGGGTATGCTTGCAAGCCGAAGAACACCATCCCAACCGTGAAGCACGGGGGTGGCAGCATCATGCTGTGGGGGTGCTTTGTTGCAGGAGGGACTGGTGCACTTCACAAAATAGATGGCATCATGAGGAAGGAAAATAATGTGGATATATCGAAGCAACATCTCAAGACATCAGTCAGGAAGTTAAAGCTTGGTCGCAAATGGGTCTTCCAAAAGGACAATGACCCCAAGCATAATTCCAAAGTTGTGGCAAAATGGCTTAAGGACAACAAAGTCAAGGTATTGGAGTGGCCATCACAAAGCCCTGACCTCAAACCTATAGAAAATGTGTGGGCAGAACTGAAAAAGCGTGTGCGAGCAAGGAGGCCTACAAACCTGACTCAGTTACACCAGCTCTGCCAGGAGGAATGGGCCAAAATCCACCCAACTTATTGTGGGAAGCTAACCGAAACGTTTGACCCAAGTTAAGCAATTTAAAGATCATGCTACCAAATACTAATTGAGTGTATGTAAACTTCTGACCCACTGGGAATGTGATTAAAGAATAAAATATTAAATAAATCACTCTCCACTATTATTCTGACATTTCACATTCTTAAAATAAAGTGGTGATCCCAACTGACCTAAAACAGGGGATATTTTTACTAGGATAACATTTTTGGAATTGTGAAAAACTGAGTTTAAATGTATTTGGCAAAGGTGTATGTAAACTTCCGACTTCAACTGTAGATACTGTGCTGAACCACAATGCCTTCGGAAAGTATTCAGACCCCCTTGGCTTTTTCCACATTTTGTTATGTTACAGCCTTATTCTAAAATGTATTAAATAAATACAAATCCTCAGCAATCTACAAACAAAAACAGTTTATTTTTTTTATGTTTGCAAATTTATAAAATAAAAAACCCCGGAAATACCTTATTTAAAAGTATTCAGCCCTTTTGCTATGAGACTCGAAATTGAGCTCAGATGCATCCTGTTTCCATTGATCATCCTTGTGATGTTTCTACAACTTGATTGGAGTCCACATGTGGTAAATTCAATTGATTGGACATGATTTGGAAGGGCGCACACCTGTCTATATAAGGTCCCACAGTTGACAGTGCATGTCAGAGCAAAAACCAAGCCATGAGGTTGAAGGAATTGTCCGTAGAGCTCAGAGACAGGATTGTGTCGAGGCACATATCTGGGGAATGGTACCAAAACATTTCTGTAGCATTGAAGGTCCCCAAGAACACAGTGGCCTCCATCATTATTCAATGGAAGAAGTTTGGAACCACCAAGACTCTTCATAGAGCTGGCCGCCCAGCCAAACTGAGCAATCGGGGGAGGAGGGCCTTGGTCAGGGAGGTGACCAAGAACCTGATGGTCACTCTCACAGAGTTCTTCTGTAGAGATGGGAGAACCTTCCAGAAGGACAACCATCTCTGCAGCACTCCACCAATCAGGCCTTTATGGTAGAGTGGCCAGACGGAAGCCACTCCTCAGTAAAAGGAACTTGAAAGCCCGATTGGAGTTTGCCAAAAGGCACCTAAAGACTCGCAGACCATGAGAAACAAGATTATCTGGTCTGATGAAACCAAAATTGAACTCAGGCTTTGGCCTGAATGCCAAGCGTCACGTCTGAAGGAAACCTGGCACCATCCCTACGGTGAAACATGGTGGTGGCAGCATCATGCTGTGGGGATGTTTTTCAGTGGCAGGGACTGGGAAACTAGTCAGGATTGAGGCAAAGAAGAACGGAGCAAAGTACAGAGAGATCCTTGATGAAAACCTGTTCCAGAGCGCTCAGGACCTCAGACTGGGGCAAGGTTCACTTTCCAACAGGACAACGACCCTAAGCACACAGCCAAGACAACGCAGGAGTAGCTTTGGGACAAGTCTCTGAATGTTCTTGAGTGGCCCAGCCAGAGCCCGGACTTGATCCCGATCTAACATCTCTGGAGAGACCTGAACATAGCTGTGCAGCAAAGCTCCCCATCTAACCTGACAGAGCTTGAGAGGATCTGCAGAGAATAATGGAGAAACTCCCCAAATACAGGTGTGCTAAGCTTGTAGCGTCATACACAAAAAGACTTGAGGTTGTAATCGCTGCCAAAGGTGCTTCAACAAAGTACTGAGTAAAGGGTCTGAATAACATCACAAAATGTGGAAAATGTAAAGGAGTCTGAATATTTTCTGAAGGCACTGCAAATGTTGAAAGGAGCACATTACAGGCACATTACAGCACTCAACACAAACAGGATTCATGCTGTCATACATAATATTATGTCACTCCCCAAACCATATTGCAACACCCACATTTCTCAAAATAACACTTCGTCAACAGCTACATATGACTTTAGTGAAACTAACCTCCTAAATAAGAGATGTGATGAAAGAAATGTGTGATCAAACACACCAGAAGGGTGAGTAAGGGAATGAGGGAGAGGGAGATCAGTATGTTAGGGAGGCTGCTTGAGGCACACAGCTGATCTGCCTGTGTGCGTGTGTGTGTGTGTGTGTGTGTCTCTGTGTGTGCGTGCGTGCGAGCAGGAGCGTGTGTGTTTTTGGCGGAAGCACAATGAAGAGCTCTGTCAGAATTCAGCTGAGACACAAGAGGAGCTTTGTGTGTGTGCGTGACAGGGAGAGTGTTTTTAGAGAATGTGTATGTGAACACTAGTTTGTGTGCTCATGTGTATACATATGATTTTCTATAGTAGTACTACCATTGTCATCTGATATTTTCGTAGATTTTTTTTGGGGGGGGCAACAAAAGAAAGTGAGTAAAACTAAATGGATTGTAATTGAATTGAATTAATGTGAATAGTGAGATTTAGCTTTAAGAGCTTCTCTGCAAGAGTACCCCATCCCCCCCACACAGCTATACACTGTAGGTTCCAAAAACAGAACAGACGCACTCTCACCATTGTCAGAGGCCATGAAGGTGATGTTATAGAGGTTATTCTTCACATAGGGAGACTCTCTGTCCAGCACAGCGATGGTGGAGATCTGCCCGTTTACAGGGTCTATCTCCAGCCAGTTAGCAGGGTCGAACATCTTGGTGTACCTGGAAATCAACCAATGAGATGACAGAACACAATTTACCCTTTGCTATGCCCCGCCCCCCTTGGTTACTGTTGCAACCTCAGACAACATTTTCTCGGGAAGCCCAATTCACCACTCAAACCACTGGCGAAATCCCCTCACAATGATTTCAAACTGTGTCTTTAATATACAAGGAAATGAATAAGGAGTTTTGGCCTTCCATGGCGACATCACCATGCGGTAAATTAGTTAATAGACCAATAAGAAAGAGAGTTCCAAACCTCTCTGCCAAAACCAGCTAATTTTCAATTTTCCCCTCCCCACTCATACCACTCCCAGACAGGCCTAACAACATTTTTGCTTGACAAATTGCTCTTTGCTAAGAATACATTTATATTTATTTTTGACCATTTTAATTGAAAACAATCACAGTAAGGTACTCAATTGCTGCCCAGAAATTATTGGATATTACAATAAAAACGGCTGCATTGGACCTTTTAAGTGGCTAGCTAGCAATGTTATGTGGTCAATGAGACTGAGAGCTTGCTAACCAGCTGAGCTCGCAAACAATGTAACAAAAGTATAATTTCGGATTTTAAAAAATACTCCATCAACAGGCTCTGCATTTCAGGAATCACAGTAGCAAGTTCCCCTGGTGCACTGTTCAGTTATTTAGCCATTTCAACAGTACTTTTTTAAAAGAATAGCTCTCTGTTTTTGCCATTGCCCTCACTTGCTTACATGCGTTTGAAACGTGAGCTTGTTCGAGGTGTCAGACTCGTTGCTATCCACTGGAGTGCTGCGAATGGTTGGCCAAAATGTTGGGGCGGGGCGTAGCGAAGAGTCAATTACAAAAGGAAGTAACGTGACACTCTATATAATGCATTTGAAACACACACATTCAACACATAAAAAAACATCATAAAACATATTATAAGCCAACATGCATATCTCTCTCATCTCCATACCGTATGTTCTGTTGCATGTATCTGTCAGGGTCCTGTGCTGTAAAGGTGGTGAGTAGCGAGCCGGCCAGTAGCCCCTCCTCTAGTTTGATGACTTTGGGGTTAGGGGAGAACTCTGGGCTCTCGTTGACGTCTGTGATTCGTACAGACACGGTGGCGGTGGACTGACGGGGTAGGTGGATACCACGGGCCAGGGAAACCTCGTTCTCAGCCAGTACCGTCAGCACGAAGGAACGACTCACCTCATAGTCTATAGGCTGGAGAGATACACACATACCAGTTAGCCACACAGTTTATACACACACTTCAATTTGTTTACCATATCCACATACATTCTTTGTAAATCTTACATTCCAGAACTTTCACTTTGAAAACAGCTGTAATGTACAGTGCCTTCAGAAAGTATTCACACCCCTTTACCTTTTCCACATTTTGTTGTTACAGCCTGAATTTAAAATGGATTAAATTGAGATTTAGTGACAATTATGTTTTTAGAAATTGTTACAAATTAATTAAAAATGAAAAGCTGAAATGTCTTGAGTCAAGTATTCAACCCCTTTGTTATGGAAAGTCTAAAGTTCAGGAGTAAAAATGCACTTAACAAGTCACAAAAGTGTGCAATAATAGTGTTTAACATGATTTTTGAATAACTACCTCATCTTTGTACCCCACACATACAATTATCTGTAAGGTCCCTCAGTCGAGCATTGGATTTCAAACACAGATTCAACCACAAAGACCAGGGAGGTTTTCCAATGCCTCGCAAAGAAGGGCCCCTAATGGTAGATTGGTAAAAATTAAATAAAAAAGCAGACATTGAATATCCCTTTGAGCATGGTGAAGTTATTCATTAGACTTTGAATGGTGTATCAATCAACCCAGTCAATACAAAGATACAGCCATCCTTCCTAACTCAGTTGCCGGAGAGGAAGGAAACCGCTAAGGGATTTCACCATGATTTCACCAAAAAATGTGGCAAAGAAAGGAACTTTATGTCCTGAATACAAAGCCTTATGTTTGGGGTAAATCTAACGCAACACATTACTGAGTACCACTCTTCATATTTTTAAGCATGGTGGTGGCTGCATGATGTTATGGGTATGCTTGTCATCAGCAAGGACTAGGGAGTTTTTTAAGATAAAAATAAATGGAATAGCGCTAAGCGCAGGCAAAATCCTAGAGGAAAACCTGGTTCAGTCTGCTTGACAACAGACACTGGGAGACAAATTCACCTTTCAGCAGGACAATATCCTACAATACAAAGCCAAGATGACATTAAATGTTCCTGAGTGGCCTAGTTACAGTTTTGACTTATATCAGCTTTAAAATATATGGCAAGACTTGAAAATGGCTGTCTAGCAATGATCAACAACAAACTTGACAGAGCTTGAAGAATTTTTCAAAGATGAATGTGCAAACATTGTACAATCCAGGTGTGCAAAGCTCTTAGGGACTTACCCAGAAATACACACAGCTGTAATCGCTGCCAAACGTGATTCTAACACATATTTACTCAGGGATGTGAATACTTATGTAAATGAGATATTTCTGTATTTAATTTTCAATACATTTGAAAAAATGTAGATGGGTAAGAAAAAAAATATATGTAATCAATTTTGAATTCAGGCTGTAACACAATTTTTTTTGGAATAAGTCAATTGGTATGAATCATTTATGAAGGCACTCTATGTCTGTGCTGTATCTCTGTCTCTGTGTCTGCATGTACAGTGGGGAGAACAAGTATTTGATACAATGCCGATTTTGCAGGTTTTCCTACTTACAAAGCATGTAGAGGTCTGTAATTTTTATCATAGGTACACTTCAACTGTGAGAGACGGAATCTAAAACAAAAATCCAGAAAATCACATTGTATGATTTTTAAGTAATTAATTTGCATTTTATTGCATGACATAAGTATTTGATACATCAAAGCAGAACTTTATATTTGGTACAGAAACCTTTGTTTGCAATTACAGAGCTCATACGTTTCCTGTAGGTCTTGACCAGGTTTGCACACACTGCAGCAGGGATTTTGGCCCACTCCTCCATACAGACTGTCTCCAGATCCTTCAGGTTTCGGGGCTGTCGCTGGGCAATACGGACTTTCAGCTCCCTCCAAAGATTTTCTATTGGGTTCAGGTCTGGAGACTGGCTAGGCCACTCCAGGACCTTGAGATGCTTCTTACGGAGCCACTCCTTAGTTGCCCTGGCTGTGTGTTTCGGGTCGTTGTCATGCTGGAAGACCCAGCCACGACCCATCTTCAATGCTCTTACTGAGGGAAGGAGGTTGTTGGCCAAGATCTCGCGATACATGGCCCCATCCATCCTCCCCTCAATACGGTGCAGTCGTCCTGTCCCCTTTGCAGAAAAGCATCCCCAAAGAATGATGTTTCCACCTCCATGCTTCACGGTTGGGATGGTGTTCTTGGGTTGTACTCATCCTTCTTCTTCCTCCAAACACGGCGAGTGGAGTTTAGACCAAAAAGCTATATTTATGTCTCATCAGACCACATGACCTTCTCCCATTCCTCCTCTGGATCATCCAGATGGTCATTGGCAAACTTCAGACGGGCCTGGACATGCGCTGGCTTGAGCAGGGGGACCTTGCGTGCGCTGCAGGATTTTAATCCATGACGGCGTAGTGTGTTACTAATGGTTTTCTTTGAGACTGTGGTCCCAGCTCTCTTCAGGTCATTGACCAGGTCCTGCCGTGTAGTTCTGGGCTGATCCCTCACCTTCCTCATGATCATTGATGCCCCACGAGGTGAGATCTTTTATGGAGCCCCAGACCGAGGGTGATTGACCGTCATCTTGAACTTCTTCCATTTTCTAATAACTGCGCCAACAGTTGTTGCCTTCTCACCAAGCTGCTTGCCTATTGTCCTGTAGCCCATCCCAGCCTTGTGCAGTTCTACAATTTTATCCCTGATGTCCTTACACAGTTCTCTGGTCTTGGCCATTGTGGAGAGGTTGGAATCTGTTTGATTGAGTGTGTGGACAGGTGTCTTTTATACAGGTAACGAGTTCAAACAGGTGCAGTTAATACAGGTAATGAGTATAGAACAGGAGGGCTTCTTAAAGAAAAACTAACAGGTCTGTGAGAGCCGGAAATCTTACTGGCTGGTAGGTGATCAAATACTTATGTCATGCAATAAAATGCAAATTAATTACTTAAAAATCATACAATGTGATTTTCTGGATTTTCGTTTTAGATTCCGTCTCTCACAGTTGAAGTGTACCTATGATAAAAATGACAGACCTCTACATGCTTTGTAAGTAGGAAAACCTGCAAAATCGGCAGTGTATCAAATACTTGTTCTCCCCACAGTGGCTTGCGAAAGTATTCACCCCCCTTTAATATTTTTTGGGGGGGTTGTATCATTTGATTTACACAACATGCCTACCACTTTGAAGATGCAAAATATTTTTTCTTGTGAAACAAACAAGAAATAATACAAAAATACAGAAAACTTGAACGTGCATAACTATTCACCCCCCCAAAATATGTACTTTGTAGAGACACCTTTTGCAGCAATTACAGCTGCAAGTCTCTTGGGATATGTCTCTATAAGCTTGGCACATCTAGCCACTGGGATCTTTTCCCATTCTTCAAGGCAAAACTGCTCCAGCTCCTTCAAGTTGGATGGGTTCTGCTGGTGTACAGCAATCTTTAAGTCATACCACAGATTCTCTGAGCTTTGACTTGGCCATTCCAAGACATTTAAATGTTTCCCCTTAAACCACTTGAGTGTTGATTTAGCAGTATGCTTATGGTCATTGTCCTGCCGGAAGGTGAACCTCCATCGCAGTATCAAATCTCTGGAAGACTGAAACAGGTTTCCCCAAGAATTTCCCTGTATTTAGCGCCATCCATCATTCCTTCAATTCTGACCAGTTTCCCAGTCCCTGCCGATGAAAAACATCCCCACAGCATTATGCTGCCACCACCATGCCTCACTATGGGGATGGTGTTCTCGGGGTGATGAGAGGTGTTGGGTTTGAGCCAGACATAGCGCTTACCTTGACGGCCAAAAAGGTCAATTTTAGTCTCATCTGACCAGAGTACCTTCTTCCATATGTTTGGGGAGTCTCCCACATGCCTTTTGGCGAACACCAAACGTGTTTGCTTATTTATTTCTTTAAGCAATGGCTTTTTTCTAGCCACTCTTCCGTAAAGGCCAGCTCTGTGGAGTGTACGGCTTAAAATGGTCCTATGGACAGATACTCCAATCTCTGCTGTGGAGCTTTGCAGCTCCTTCAGGGTTATCTTTGGTCTCTTTGTTGCCTCTCTGATTAATGCCCTCCTTGCCTGGTTCGTGAGTTTCGTGGGCGGCCCTCTCTTGGCAGGTTTATTGTGATGCCATATTCTTTCCATCTTTTTAATAATGGATTTAATGGTGCTCTGTGGGATGTTCAAAGTTTCTGATATTTTCTTATAACCCAACCCTGATCTGTAATTCTCCACAACTTTGTCCCTGACCTGTTTGGAGAGCTCCTTGGTCTTCATGGTGCCGCTTACTTGGTGGTGCCCCTTGCTTAGTGGTGTTGCAGACTCTGGGGCCTTTCAGAACAGGTGTATATATACTGAGATCATGTGACAGATCATGTGACACTTAGATTGCACACAGGTGGACTTTATTTAACTAATCATGTGACTTCTGAAGGTAATTGGTTGCACCAGATCTTATTTAGGGGTTTCATATAAAAGGGGGTAAATACATATGCACACACCACTTTTCCGTAATTAATTTTTTAGAATTTCTTGAAACAAGTTATTTTTTTCATTTCTCTTCACCAAATTGTCCCTTACATGAAATCCAAATAAAAATCAATTTAAAAATTACAGGTTGTAATGCAACAAAATAGGAAAAACGCCAAGTGGGATGAATACTTTTGCAAGGCACTGTACAGGTATGTGCTATGCACATACAGAATGTGATATGTTCATCAGTTCAAGTAAATGTTCTATTCATAAAAAATACATTGGAAATATTACTCATCAGAGCTGTGTGAATCCATACCTTAACCACAGTGACCAGTCCCTCGTTGGTGGTGAGGTCAGTGGGGATGGAGAGGCGTCCAGTGGGGTCTCCAGCTGTGATCCTGTACACAGTACTCCAGGCTGCAGTGTGGGGCTGGTCCTTATCTGTTACTGTCAGATTAGCTACGATCACATTCACACGGTTCTCCTGCACCTCTCCATAGAACTACAGAGTGAGGGGAAGTGAGAGAGAAGGGGCAGGGGGAGAGAGAGAGGAAGGGAGTGAAAGATGAAAAATCATGCTCAATAATATGAGAATGATTGTCTCTTTTGCTAAAACATTTGTATTGGTTTATTTGTAAAACAAATATTTGGTGGTGTTTTTTCAACGTGAGAGAGAAAGTGTGTGTGTGTCTGTTTGTACGTGTTTGTGTGTGTGTATTGTATGTCTGTATGCATCTGTGTGTGTGTGCACGTTCATGTGTGCGTATGTCTAATCTGTCTGTCTGTGACATACTTTGTCAGCGGTGAACTCTGGGGGGTTATCATTGACGTCAGTGATCCTGATTATAGCTGTAGCTGTGTTAGACAGACCATAGGTAGGGTTCCCCTCCATGTCAGTAGCCTGGATGATCAACGTGTACTGAGGAACTTTCTGGAAGAAGGAAGAAACCGGGGTCAGGTCCATATTAAAGAGTATAATATAGACAGTCTATATTGTGAACACACAATCATAAAAACAATTGATACACATTGATAGACAGCACACACACGCACACACACCTCTCTGTCGAGCCCTGCAGCCACAGTGATGATTCCTCCTGTCTTGTTGTTGATGGTGAACATGTTGGAGGACGGGCTTTCGGGGTTCTGAGATAGAATCTTGTATCGGAGCATCCCATTGGCTGTTTTAGGGTCATCCTTGTCCAGTGATGTCACTGTCATCACAAAGGACCCTGGGAAGGTAAACCAAACAGTCAATTAAAAGCTCTCACACAATGGAATGTGTGCATGTGTGCGCGTGTTTGTGTGTGCGTGCGTGCGCACTGTTACCTGGTTTGGATCCCTCTGGTACTGATCCGTTGTAGATGGTGTGTGTAAACTCTGGTCTGTTGTCATTCATGTCTATGACGTTGATGACGATGTCTATGGGGTTCTCTATCTGGTTCCCATTCAGGTCCACAGCATGGGCTCGCAGCTACAGAGATGCATACAGTAGTACAGGTTTAACACATGGTAAGGACATGGGCTCTCAACTACAGACACACAAATACAGGTTCATGGTTAGGCACATTTATGGGAATGGTATGGGCTCGCAGTTCCAGAGACAAATACAGGGTTAGGGCATGGTTGTCTTAACCTGGTTAAACCAGACTGTTAGCATAGCGTTCAGTCTGAATTCACCAGGCCATGGCTGTTCTCTTTCTATCACATCATGACTTTCCCTCTTTTCTTGTTTGCTCTCTCACATGGATCAGAAAGGATTCTATATGTGTAAGCAATATGGTAATATCTCCTCATAGACCTTGGATAGGATTGGTATAGTTTTCAGCATATTGCTTACACTTCATAGGGCAAGCCACCAAGGGCAGAGAGAGGGGAAGGGTGTAAATTATTGGGATTGGAACAGGACTATTGACTCTGAGGTTTGTGTACACTTGGCCTCTCAAGGGTGGATCTAAACATCCTTAAGTGTTTCTCTCCTAGGGCCTCTCCCCTATTGCTCTCTAACAGAGCACTACAGGGATAAAAGCTGAGTACGCTCCCCCTGTATCCTGTCTCCAAAACAGCCATGGCAGGGAGGTAGAGAGGCCTACCACTAGGCAGGGAGTAGTAGCTGCCATAACATACAGCCGTTACAGTACCTACTCCTATACCTTGTGTCATAGCTGCATTACTGGCTGTGCTGCTCCCTATACCCTGTATCCAGTACTGCCACACCTAATTAATATTAATGACAGAGCTTCAGTGACTCTGACAACCACATCACTCTATGAATATTCATGAGATGGTCCAATCCTTCATGCAAATGCTCTGTTGCAGATCAGAGTTGCTTGTGTGTCTGCATTGAGTGTGTTCTCAAGATCCAAGTATCCTGTCCAACTCTGTATGGCGTTTTACTACATTTCACATAGACCAATAAAGAATGTTGGCCACCAAGCCACCCATTATGGAGTAATTGACATGAATAGGGATGCCAATTCTACTCATTCTAATTCTATGAGCTGAACACTAACGTGGAAGTTGGAGATGTGTTCCCGGTCGAGGGGTTTGGTCACAGAGAGCTGACCAGAGATGGGGTTGATGATGAAGATCCCGGTCGGAGGCTGGTCAGCACCGGGTCCAGTCACACTGTACCGTAAGAGACTGTTCTTATCACGGTCTGACCGGATCTAGCAGGAGGGAGAGAGAGAGAGAGGTACAGATGGAGAGAGATATTCCCAGGTTTAGATACAGTTACAACCACATATTATTTAAAACATCTTTAGCTCCCCTCAACACCATACATAGGCTGTACAGTACAGACAGGAAACAGCAGATGAACCATGAACCTTAATAAGATATGTATAAATCACCATCACACTCCCATTAACCCCCTGCCTCACCCTTATACATATCAGCAGATGGTGTTAGGAGGAAATAGTGAGCTCTATACACACAGGAACCGCACACATACACATACATATACACAAAAACTGTACACACAAACACACACTCTATAAAACCCTGTGACAGTGTGTTTGTCTTCCCTTGATTAACCCCACTGGCAAATTTGTCAAATGTGTCCTTTGAACTGTGTGTGTTGTGTGTGTACACTATGTGTGTGTGTGTGTCTCTGTGTTTGTGTGTCTCCTTGTATGTGTCTCCCCTACCCTGACTAGCTCCTCGGGGAACTGTCCTCGTGAGTTCTCAGGGACATTGATGGGGGGGATGACCCAGTCCCTCTTCACCCGCCTCAGAGATCCATCGTCCCCAACGACCAAGCTGTGCCAGGGAAACACGATCTCCCGCACCTGCTGAGTCACAGCTGCAGAGCTGGAGTTCACCTGCAGAGATGAGACAACAACAAAGGTTATCCACAGGTTGTGCAACCCCCAACACACACACAGACAGAGGCAGAGACATGCAGATTACTCAGACCCACACACCAACACACACACACACACACACACACACACACAAACACTATGACAAACACTATGACTCAGTGTATTTATGGCCTCGCTCCACAGAGCTGGATTAATGACATCATTACTGAGGACCTGACCAATGATCAGACTGGCTGGCTGGCTGGCTGTGTGTGTAACCTGTGTGTGTGTCCTCTAATATATTTGCAGCCTAGGAATGCAGTTTGTTTCCTCCACACTCTAATCTGAATCTGAATACAGCCCTTTAGCCATCTCATCCTCTCTCTGTATCCCTCCACCTCATCTCTATCCCTATATTTTCATTCTTTCTCTCTTTCTCTCCATTCTCTCCATCATTCCCCTATATACCCTCATCCAATAGCCTTCTGCTGCGTCATAACTCTTTCTCCCGCTTGCCTCTCCAAACCCTCCCTCTCCTTCCTCCCTCCCTTTTCTCTGAGTATTCTGATCCATCTGTCTGTTGAAAGAGCTAGCTGACTAATAGCTGCCTAACACCACTTGTTCAATTTCAAAGCTTTTATTCACAAGTTTGGTTTTGGTGGTATTTTATCAGCTTTTTCTTTCCTCCCACTGTTTTCCCTGCTCCCACAGAGGGTTGAGAGACTTTAATGGACAAACTAAGCATATGGCACTGCACTATTTCTGGGAAAATGTTTACTGGGGGATGTAAGCGAGTTCATGTATTAATGTCTCCTCATATAGAGAGGACCTCCTTATTGCTCTAATTCACACACAGCAGGCAGTAGCACCACAAAGCAAATTGTCCAGTGTTAAAGAACAAACAAATTAACACTGAACGTGTTAAATCAATATTCAAATATTTCCCAGAGTGCCTTGCCTTTAGAGTCAATTATAGAATTACCACCCATGACTCTATTTATTACTGACAGAGACATGGTAGTTGAATTCATCCATTTTCAGTCCTGTGGCCTTCACCAAGTGAGATCCTAAGTGAAAATGTTAGGGCCTAGTTTTACCCTAATACGCGGTCCTGAAACTTATATGCATCGCTTTGAACAAAAACCACGCCCATCATTATCATATTTCCCAGCATGCTCTATTGAAGGTTGATTTGTATTGTTTGTTTCAATATCTATGTTTGTACATGTAATCTTATGCTTTTCAAATATAAATTAGAAACATTTTCTAAACTAATCCAATACGCTACTTTGAATTATGGCACCTGTTACTGAAACGGTTTGTTCCAGTTTAGATGCTTTAGGTAGTCTTATAGCTTAGTCTTTCTAACCCTGGCAGTCATTCTGAATAAAGGTTGCAGGTGATTAGAAATTCCAAAAGTTGGACATCCCCACACTGGCTGGTTTCCAATAAAAATTACACATCACCTTGCAAGCAGAAAATGGAACAACCATGTCTCTGTCACTAACAACTTGAGTCATGGGTGTTAACTCAATTAGAATAAGGCTTTACACTAAGCAGTGTGTTAATTTAACACTGTTCCACTGTCTATATGGGTCCACAGACTCAACACTTTCAGTGTTGATTTAACACTCAGTGTTCATTTGTTTGTTTTTTAACACTGGAGAATTTGCTGTGCAGATGCTGTTTGCATTCCAAATGCTACCCTGTTCCCTATATAGTGCACTACTATTCAAATACAATGCAAATAGTCCGGGTAGCCATTTGATTAGCTGTTCAGGAGTCTTATGGCTTGGGGGTAGAAGCTGTTAAGAAGCATTTTGGACCTAGACTTGGCGCTCCGGTACCGCTTGCCATGCGGTAGCATAGAAAATAGTCTATGACTAGGGTGGCTGGAGTCTTTGACAATTTTGAGGGCCTTCCTCTGACACCGCCTGGTATAGAGGTCCTGGATGGCTTTTTGAGGATCTGAGGACCCATGCCAAATCTTTTCAGTCTCCTGAGGGGGAATAGGCTTTGTCGTGCCCTCTTCACGACTGTCTTGGTGTGTTTGGACCATGAAGGTTTGTTGGTGATGTGGACACCAAGGAACTTGAAGCTCTCAACCTGCTCCACTACAACCCCGTCCATGAGAATGAGGGCGTGTTCAGTCCTCTTCTTTTTTCTGTAGTCCACAATCATCTCCTTTGTCTTGATCACGTTGAAGGAGAGGTTGTTATCCTGGCACCACATGGCCAGGTCTCTGACCTCCATATAGGCTGTCTTATCGTTGTCTGTGATCAGGCCTACCACTGTTGTGTCGTCGGCAAACTTAATGATGGTGTTGGAGTCGTGCCTGGCCATGCAGTCATGGGAACAGGGAGTACGCACCCCTGAGGGGCCCCGGCTGTTGAGAATCAGCGTGGCAGATGTGTTGTTACCTACCCTTACCACCTGGGGGTGGCCCGTCAGGAAGTCCAGGATCCAGTTGCAGAGGGAGGTGTTTAGTCCCAGGGTCCTTAGCTTAGTGATGAGCTTTGAGGGCACTATGGTTGACCAGGGTCCTGGGCAAAAATAGCACACGATATATGAAATAGGGTGCCATTTGGGATGCACTCTATACTGTAGCGAGCCTCTTCTTCTTTCTGTGGTTATCAGCACTTTACTGGCCATCAAAGACTAACAGAGTAGGTATATACCCACCGATGACATTATACTTCATCATCATGTTTCCATTGGGTCTTTTCTATACAACTAAGGCCAGGACTTTTTATGGAATGCATAGGTTGTCTTTTCATTTCCCGCATGGGCCACATATGCGTAGTGTAAACGTGTGTTGCTTTGGATAAAATCGTCTGTTAAATGAAAATGTTTTGATATTATATCCCATACCTGTTTGATGTGTTTGTGTTCTGTCGTCTCTCGCATTCCGTCTTTGCGGAGGAGGAGGTAAATATGTGTCTTCCAATCCTCCTTGGTCTCCAGATCCCTCGCTCGCACCACCAGGAAGGCTCTCTTCCTGTCCGCCAGACGGAAGGCGTGCCGGGCATACACCATGCCATCCTCATCCAGCCTGAAGTCCTCCACGTCGCCCACCTCCAACAGCACCCTGTCGCCCAGGCCACAGTCTGCAAACCTCACTGCAGGGAGAGAGGGAGAGAGATGTCAGCAAGATATAAAAACAGAGGAAGACAACATATAACTATATACACTAAATGGCCAAAAGTATGTGGGCACACCTTCAAATTAGTAGATTCAGCTATTTCAGCCACACCTGTTGCTGACAGGTGTATAAAATCGAGCACACATTCATGCAATCTCCATAGAAAAACACTGGCAGTAGAATGGCCCGTACTGAAGAGCTCAGTGACTTTCAACGTGGCACCGTCATAGGATGCCACCTTTCCAAAAAGTATGTTAGACAAATGTACACCCTGCTAGAGCTGCCCTGGTCAACTGTAAGTGTTGTTATTGTGAAATGGAAACGTCTAGGAAGAAACAACGTCTCAGCCACAAAGTGGTAGGCCACACAACCTCACAGGACTGGACCGCCAAGTTTTGGGAAAGCCCTTTCCTGTTTCAGCATGACAATGCCTACGTGCACAAAGCGAGGTCCATACAGAAATGGTTTGTCGAGATCGTTGTGGAAGAACTTAACTGGCCTGTTAAAATGTTAAAGTTCAGGTAACACTTTGATTGAAAAGTTGAGTAAATTAAAAAAGGCTGTGGAACCAGTTACTTAATAGTAATTAGTTGAAATAACTATAATTGTTTTACAGTGCACAGTGGACCAAACATGGACCTACAGACACAAGAGTAGCAATCTTTACACTCTCCCTCCTCCGCATCAATGATTCACACACAGATGTGGGCTGCTCTTATCACTCTACCTCCCACTCTCTGTCTCTCTGTCTGTGTGTGTGTGTGTGTGTGTGTGTGTGTGTGTGTGTGTGTGTGTGTGTGTGTGTGTGTGTGTGTGTGTGTGTGTGTGTGTGTGTGTGTGTGTGTGTGTGTGTGTGTGTGTGTGTGCAGCTAATGTAGAGTTACATTGCCTGCCCACTGAGTTGGAGGTAATGTTTGGCTGTTTGAGCTGACACAAACTGTTCAGAACAGATAGGGCCATAACTGAGAGCGCCAAACACTACTAAACACTACACTACATGAGCAGTAATACACTGAGTAGACAGACATGGTTAATGGATGATGATATACTCATTCCAAAATCATGGGCATTAATAGGGAGTTGGTCCCCCCTTCACTGCTATAACAGCCTCCACTCGCCTGGGAAGGCATTCCACTAGATGTTGGAACATTGCTGCGGGGACTTGCTTCCATTCAGCCACAAGAGCGTTAGTGAGGTCGGGCACTGATGTTGGGTGATTAGGCCTGGCTTGCAGTCAGCGTTCCAATTCATCCCAAAGGTGTTCGATGGGGTTGAGATCTTCCACACCGATCTCGACAAATCATTTCTGTATGGACCTGAGCTCTTCAATAAGGCCAATGGTTTGTCTATGGAGATTGCATGGCTGTGTGCTCTATTTTATACACCTGTCATCAACAGGTGTGGCTGAAATAGCCAAATCCACAAATTTGAAGGGGTGTCATCTTTATTGGAAAAATATAAATACATATAAGCTACATAGTAATTTGACAGTAATGAACTGTCCATTGTTCAGCACAGCAATTGATAACACAGGAACATGTTTGAAAAAAAAAGCGGTTCTGAGCTTATGTCAATATTACACAGGTAAGCTAACGGTTACAGAAATCAATAATGCAGACAGGCTCTATATACCTTTATATCTATATGAGTGACTGTGTCAAACACGCCACCTCCTGTTGTTCTGTTAGGTACCTACTGACCAAAATATATGTTATAAAATATATTCATTTTTCAATGACATGTATTGTTAAAATTACGTTTTCAGGAAATGCAGGCAGGCACCACATTACTACAAAACAAAATAGCTCACTCAATCAAGCCTGATGGTGTTGTAAGTATAAAAGCAAAGCTTGCTTTCATATGATAGAAAAAAAGCTTCAAAAGATAGTGGAAAGATGTAATGTCTTAGTGCGGGGTGGGAAGATTGCAAGGCATTACCTTGTATGTGGCACAAATCCCATTATTGTGGGAGCACCTCCTTTAAGAGTATGCATGAGGCTGTTTGAGAAGGTTTGAATCCTAAGCAACCTGCCAACACATTGTTGGAAGTAATAGACCAACATAGCTACTGTAGTAGGATCAAAGCTGTGTGCTGGAAAATCTTGTTAGAGCATGGGTGAAGTACGCATTGTAGTGCTCATGTGAATTTCCTATTTTTTTCAACTTCAGACCAATGCCTACTTCTCACTTAAAACATATAGTTTTTGTTTTTAATTATATATGAAGTATTAAATTACTTTGAGACTGAGGGTTATTTGTGTAACTTCATTTGCCATTAAAGGGACATTTCAAAAATGTTCAACTTCAGAATCATCATCTCCAGCACCACCCCAACATCAACATACAGTTGAAGTCGGAAGTTTACATACACCTTAGCCAAATACATTTAAACTCAGTGTTTCACAATTCCTGACATTTAATCCTAGTAAAATGTCCCTGTCTTAGGTCAGTTAGAATCAACACTTTATTTTAAGAATGTGAAATGTCAGAATAACAGTAGAGAGAATGATTTATTTCAGCTTTTTATTTCTTTCATCACATTCCCATTGGGTCAGAAGTTTACATTTACATTTTAGTCATTTAGCAGACGCTCTTATCCAGAGCGACTTACAGTTAGTGAATAAATACTTTTTTTTTTCTCCATACACTCAATTAGTATTTTGTATCATTGCCTTTAAATAGTTTAACTTGGGTCAAACGTTTCGGGTAGCCTTCCACAAGCTTCCCACAATAAGTTGGGTGGATTTTGGCCCATTCCTCCTGACAGAGCTAGTGTAACTGAGTCAGGTTTGTAGGCCTCCTTGCTCGCACACGCCTTTTCAGTTCTGCCCACAAATGTTCTGTAGGATTGAGGTCAGGGCTTTGTGATGGCCATTCCAATACCTTGACTTTGTTGTCCTTAAGCCATTTTGCCACAACTTTGGAAGTATGCTTGGGGTCATTGTCTATTTGGAAGACCCATTTGCGACCAAGCTTTAACTTCCTGACTGATGTCTTGAGTGTTGCTTCAATATATCCACATAATTTTCCTTCCTCATGATGCCATCTATTTTGTGAAGTGCACCAGTCCCTCCTACAGCAAAGCACCCCCACAGCATGATGCTGCCACCCCCGTGCTTCAGGGTTGGGATGGTGTTCTTCGGCTTGCAAGCACCCCATTTTTCCTCCAAACATAACGATGGTCATTATGGCCAAACAGTTCTATTTTTGTTTCATCAGACCAGAGGACATTTTTCTCCAAAAAGTACGATCTTTGTCCCCATGTGCAGTTGCAAATCGTAGTCTGGCTTTTTTATGGCAGTTTTGGAGCAGTGGCTTCTTCCTTGCTGAGCAGCCTTTCAGGTTATGTCGATATAGGACTTGTTTTACTGTAGATATAGATACCTTTGTTTCCTCCAGCATCTTCACAAGGTCCTTTGCTGTTGTTCTGGGATTGATTTGCACTTTCTCTAGGAGACAGAATGCGTCTCCTTCCTAAGCGGTATGACGGCTGCGTGGTCCCATGGGTGTTTATACTTGCGTACTATGGTTTTAACAGATGAACGTGGTACCTTCAGGCGTTTGGACATTTCTCCCAATGATGAACCAGATATTTTTCTTTCTGAGGTCTTGGCTGCTTCCTTTTGATTTTCCCATGATGTCAAGCAAAGAGGCACTGAGTTTGAAGGTAGGCCTTGAAATACATCCACAGGTACACCTCCAATTGACTCAAATGATGTCAATTAACCTACCAGAAGCTTATAAAGCCATGACATCATTTTCTGGAATTTTCCAAGCTGTTTAAAGGCACAGTCAACTTAGTGTATGTAAACTTCTGACCCACTGGAATTGTGATGCAGTGAATTATAAGTGAAATAATATGTCTGTAAACAATTTTACTTGTGTCATGCACAAAGTAGATGTCCCAACCGACTTGCCAAAACTATAGTTTGTTAACAAGAAATTTGTGGAGTGGTTGAAAAACTAGTTTTAATGACTCCAACCTAAGTGTATGTAAACTTCCGACTGTATGTGAAAATGTAACGTTTCTATGTTTAGCAGTAAAAAACATAGAGGAAAATAAGTGTTTCTGTAGGTCTATAACCTCTCACAATAGCCGTAATATGAACTCCTGCAGAATTAAGCATGTCTTGCAGTAAAATGATACACCAAACGGAGGCAAAATTTTGACTCAGGAACTGGACTGGAGAAATATGATTTATTGAGAGAATGCGAATGCCCAGTTAGATACTGTCTGTAGAGGTGCTACCTTTATCATCATCATAAATGCTGGTAGGGTTTCAACCACATAAAATATGCATCCAAGCTTAACTGAAATCTTATCAGAAACACATAGGGTTGTTTTCACAGCTTTCTATTTCCTTACAACCGGTCAAACTGATGTCATCTGGAATTGTTGCACAGAAAATATTTCTGTTTTTTTATTATTTATTTTTTATTGCATTTTCTCCCCGGTCCCTAAACGTCTTTGCTCCACAAAATCAAATCACATTTTATTGACCACATGCGCCGAATACAACAGGTGCAGACATTACAGTGAAATGCTTACTTACAGCCCTTAACCAACAGTGCATTTCTTTTTAACAAAAAAAGTAAAATTAAAACAACAACAAAAAAAGTGTTGAGAAAAAAAGAGCAGAAGTAAAATAAAAGAACAGTAGGGAGGCTATATATACAGGGGGGGGTACCGGTGCAGATTCAATGTGCGGGGTCACCGGCTAGTTGAGGTAGTTGAAGTAATATGTACATGTGGGTAGAGTTAAAGTGACTATGCATAAATAATTAACAGAGTAGCAGCAGCGTAAAAGGATGGGGTGGGGGGGCAGTGCAAATAGTCTGGGTAGCCATGATTAGCTGTTCAGGAGTCTTATGGCTTGGGGGTAGAAGCTGTTGAGAAGTCTTTTGGACCTAGACTTGGCACTCCGGTACCGCTTGCCGTGCGGTAGCAGAGAGAAAAGTCTATGACTAGGGTGGCTG